GAGAAGGGGAGAGAAAGAGAGAGAGGGAGAGGAGGAGCGGGAGGGAGACACTCACAGTGTGTTGCAAGATGCTCAATTAATTGAGTCGCAAGAGAGCTGAAGTAAAGTTTATCCTAGGGGCCCCCTAGAAAACGAAGCATCTGGATAATCCTTCTAAGTATAAACAGATGGCTGGAGGAAACTGAAGCACGCAATCCAGATCCAGGACCTGATGAACATGGGGCAGAGACTGCATGCTTATATTATAAAAAACGAAGACCCCTGAGTGCCTGAACACCTTGGCCAGGTTATCAGCTCCCCCAGTGAACCTGGTACAATCCTGCCTCCCACTTATTAAGGCATGAATAATTTCTGTTGTACCCTAGGCCAGCTGAAGGCCTTTGCATACTTTCTGTGTGTTTCTTTGTGTGACATCGTGATATAAGAAATAGGTATTTGGTCTTTATCCCTGTTTCCTGGCAGGGTTCCTAAAATCTTTGTAATTTCCTGAGTGATAGGGATCAGAGGAGCATCTTTTGTTTCCATAATAAGCTCCTTTCAACCAATGCTGAGTTTATGCTAATGAGATGGCTGGTGGCTGGGGACCCCTGGACAGTTTTAGGATGGGGGCTGGTGACCAGAAAGACCCAGACATGATCACAGCGTTGGAACTTTCAGCTCACCTCTCACTCCACACTCCACCTTACGGGTGGAGAGAGGGGCTGGAGACTGAGTTAACAGCCAATGGACATTGATTTAACCAATCTCAGTAATAATAATCCCATTACATAGGAACCTCCATAAAAACTCTACACAGCTGGGTTCAGAGAGCTTCCGAGTTGAACACATCGAGGTGCTGGGAGGGTGGCGCATCCAGAGAGGGCATGAAAGTCCCGTGCCCGCTCCCCAGACCTGGCCCTACCTCTTTCATTGGGCTGTTCCTGAGCTGTACCCTTTAAAACAAACTGGTAATGTCAGGAGAGTGTTTTCCTTAATTCTGTGGGACATTCTAGCAAATTACCGAAGAGGGGGTTGTGGGAGCCTCGATTTATAGCCAGGCCGTCAAAAGTACAGGAGGCCTGGACGTCAAAAGTACAGGAGGCCTGGACGTGAGATTGGCATTGGAGATGGGGGCAGTCTCATGGGACTGAGCTCTTTAACTTTTCGGATCCAAGTAGACAGTGTAAGAATTGAACTGAATAATAGGACACTCAACTGATGTCTGGAGAGTTGGAGAATTATTTAGTGTGAGAAAAAAAGTCCACACATTTGGTATCAGAAGTGTTGTGAGTAAAAACAGTTCAGACTTTGCTAGCTCATTTTAAAGGATTCCAAGTAGTTACCTACTTTATAAAAAATCTTATATGACTCAACAGGCCTTCGGGTAGAACATGCCCTTCTGTTCATTCAATCAAGTCAGTCTGTAAAACACTTCAGACATGACTTATTCATTCTAGTAATGTCACTTCCTTCAGGCTCTGCACAGAAGCCCTCCCTGACCACCCCACCTGACACAACACCCATGCATCACTATCTTTACACAGCTTTATTTTTTTTTATTCTTACTCCTATCACTACTATCATAAAATATCTGCTAATTTGTTGCCTTCCCCCCCCCCCCCCAAAAAA